TCTGCTTGCCTGCTCCTCTGTTCGTTCTCCTCCCCCCTTCTGTTTGTCTTTTTTCTTTCCCCTCTTGGTTCTCCGCTCCGGTCTTTCGCCCCTTTTTTCTCCTTTTTTTCCATCTCCCCACTCTCATACATTGGCCTTGCACCCGACAACCTCCTTCTTCCACCACTTGAGAATCGTCCCATCTTCACGTTCAGACGTTCTGCTTTCTGACGGCTTTCTGGTATAACGGGATTAATTGCTTCTCCTCTTTCGTGGGGTGGTGGGGGGGGGGGGGAGGGAAGCGATAGCACCAACGAGCACAAATCGAGGTGGAGATGACACGATGTGCAATTTACATCATAACAAAGCAAAAATATGTATGTATTACATTCGAAACGCGTTTGTATTTGTCAATTTTCAGGAGCTTCAGATATCCAACTAGGCTGGGATTGCACCGGAGAGCAAGAAAATGGTAAGTTCGCCTAAGGCAACTCATGCCTTGTTCAAGTGCGTGCCGGGAGTGCAGAAACAACGTGTACACCATCATTTTATTCGCCAATGCCATTTCGACGATAAGTCAGGTACGTAGTAGATGACAAAAAGCAACGAATGCGTTCTCCGAAGAGCTGCATCCAGACTACAACAACCCATGACATTTAAAAACCTATTCGTAGGCTTCCCGGATGCTGTACCAGTGCTCCAAAACGCTTCTCTCTCCAAAGCAGCGTCATCCTGGCTGGTTGCCAAAACACGCACTTCGCTCCAAGGCGATCAACCGGTATTTGGCGAACACATGATGGTTCTACTAGCACCGGGTACCTATCCACCAAAGCCATACCACGAAACAGAGTTGAGGCAAGTCATACTTGTGCTCTAGATGATAAAAAAGTCAACTCTCCAGAAATCTTAAGGACGGCTGGTTCGTCGCTCCAAACTCCAGTGTTTGTAAGCCACTCCAGCTCTGCCATTTCCAAATAATGCGTTTTTGCGACTGAGCACCCCAGAAGAGCGATAATATTGTAGCAAACTCCTTCGATCTAAGGTCAAATGTACTTCAGTCGCGTGAACTGCATGGAAAGCGGCGGCGTCATCAACGGGGATACGAAGAACGCATAGCGCCCACGTTTAAGAATTTGAAGACATCATCACTTCAAGTTAATCAACTAATCAAATCTCTCGGTTAAAGTTGTGTACTGCACATATTGTTGCGGTTCAAACCGGACCGTCCGGATAGTACTGGCTTCTAGCTCCACATTGTTGTATTGATCCGGATAATTACGGTGGTCTCCCCTCGTGAGCCGCTCGTTCGTCTTTGGCCGCAGCTTCCGCTTCCTCCTTCGTGTACAGCAGCGATCATGATGCGCAAGGTGACCTTCGAGCTAGGCCGCTGCGTCCGCGAGACCGGCCAGGCGCTGGACCGTCTCGGCCTGCGCGTTCTTAACGACAATTCTTTCAAGGAAAAGTGTAAGCCACGGCGACCTCTTCAAGTTCCAAGTAAAAATGAAACTCTTAACCTAAATCGTTTTTTGTGGAACTTGATTTATTGACAGTCTCGCGCCACCGCCAGGTGATGGCACTGTACGATAAGCGCCCTAGAATCGCACACGATGTGTGGGTTGCGCCCAACGCGACGGTTGTGGGCGACGTGGAGATCTGCAACGACGCCTCGGTCTTCTACAACGTGGTCATTCGCGGAGACCTCAACCAGGTGCGCATCGGCAACCGCACCAATGTACAGGACCGCACAGTTATCCACACGGCCAGCTCCACCAGCCCCGGTCTGGCTCCTGGCGCTAACATTGGCAACGACGTGACTATTGGCCACGGCTGCACCCTGTACTCGTGCACGGTCGAGAACAACTCTCTTATTGGCATGGGCTCCATCATCCTGGACGGCGCTCTGGTCGAGTCCAACACCATCATTGCGGCCGGAAGCGTAGTGCCTCCTGGACGTCGCATCCCGTCCGGACAACTCTGGGCCGGCAACCCGGCCAAGTACGTACGCGACCTCTCGGACGACGAGGTGGCCGACATCGCCAAGCAGGCCAGCGAGTACAAGAGCATTGCCAGCACCCACAGCGACGAGTTCTTGCCATACGGAACGGCCTACCTGGACGCTGAGAAGATCAAGGCCGCTGGCGGCCATCTGTAGAGTGTATCAGTCGTCTACGTGCGCTGTCTTTCCTTCTTCCTAGTGAGAGGGAGAGCTCGCTGTATGCATTGGAGAAATGGCCATGCACAACGTCGGCTGTCTCGATACTTTTTTTAAGCGAAGCAGGAATCCCGGACTCCGTTTACAAAGCAAAATACAAGTCACACACAATAGTACTGAGGCAATGGAGTGCTTGGGTTATTTACTCATCGTCAGTGTGTATCCTCCTACGTTTCTGCTTCTTCTGGCCACGTTTCTTGAAGCTCACATTCCCGTTTGTAGTGATGTTGATCTCCTCTTCCCGAGGCACAGCAGTGGTTGATGTACTAGTAGCATCGTCGAGGTTGACACCTTTATAGCTGCCTCCCCACGGGTTAAAGGCACCCAGCGCATTGTCTCCTTGAGACGAAAAGTCTTCCAATGCATCGAGACGCTTCTGCTCTTCTGCAGTTCGCTCCACTTCAGCTTCTGCCTCCGCTGCACGTTTCACCACAGCTTCGGGGCTTTCGTCAATCTGCCGTACTTCCACTGTACTCCACACGCCCATGCCAGTGGTCTCGTCAATTATTACCGATGGTTTTGTATTGGTTTGTGTTGCGTCGTCGCCGTTGCGCCATTGCTCCACCATTTCCTCTGCAGCTTCCAGCGTCACGTTGGCTGGCAATGGGATACGTAGCCGATCGGCCAGCACTTCGTTTTCTGTCATGGGCTCCGCTTTCTCTCCATTCTTCATTGCTTCTTCAGACGGCGGCAGCATGTACATGACTGTGAAGCGTCTGAAACTCACCTCGGTATTAGGAACGGTGTGCACTGTGGCCTGTTCCACCAGAGCGTCGACCCATTGCTCGGCCTCTTCGACCCAAATCTGACACGCGCTTCCTGTCTCTAATTGTGATTCGTGCTTTTTACCTTCCAGATAGACAACACCACGCACAGCGTAGACGCCATTGTCGTCCTCTTCATCCTCGGGCTCCTCTTCCAGCTGGACAGGAGGGCGAAATTGTCCTCCACTCGACAGCTGTCTCGGTGGAGGTGGAGCAGCTACAGCAGCGATGCTATTACGCTGTCCCTGTCTAGGAGGTGGCCGTGGAGCACTCCCAGCACTCTGACCTGGTCTCCTTGGCGGTGGGGGCGGTGCGTTGCTCTGTCCTGGACGAGGTGGAGGAGGTGGCGCTCGTCTGGTGGCCATATCTTGCGCATATTTGGCCTGCGCAGCCTCCTCAATCTGCTTCAGCTGGTCCTGCAGCTCCCTTTGTGAGTTATTGGCATCTGATTTGGCCTTACGCTTCTGTTTAAGCGTTTCGTCGACTTTCTCCTTGTGTCTACGGCCTTGCTCGTGGTGCTTGATGCTCTGTAATAATACACAGCCATTAGCGCTGTGCATTGCGCACATAACAGAGCGAAAGACGTACCACCCTGTCGCTCTGCATCCACACATTGCAGTACTTGCAGTAGTGTCTCTCCTTGGACACCCAATAGTCTACCATGGCAACCGATCCAGCAGCGCACTTTACTTTTAGTCACCTTGGCAGCAACTTTTGGTCCTAAATGTGACAGGATAGGTTTAGAAAGAGCAAATTTCGTGATTCACACAGACTACGTGGTCCACACGTGGGATCAACAGCGAAAATGGTTGGCCATCGCCCACTTCGCCACCCCCTTCTTGTACTCTCCTCTTCAGTCGTAATTCTCTAAAGGAAGCAGCAACAATGGCAACTAAGCGTGGTACGTTCAGCGATATACAGGGGAACATCCAGGCATACACACACACAGGTCTCTTACTCGTCCTCTCGATGGATAACCTTTAGGACGTGGCGGTGCCTCTGGCAACAAGTTCCGTATGACCCTCGGTCTTCCCGTGGGCGCCGTGATGAACTGCGCCGACAACTCGGGTGCCAAGAACCTCTACATCATCGCCGTGTGCGGTATTAAGGGTCGCTTGAACCGTCTGCCCGCCGCCGGTGTGGGTGACATGGTGCTGGCCACCGTCAAGAAGGGTAAGCCGGACCTCCGTAAGAAGGTCATGCCCGCTGTGGTCATCCGTCAGCGCAAGTCCTGGCGCCGCAAAGACGGCGTGTTCCTCTACTTCGAGGACAACGCTGGTGTCATCGTGAACCCCAAGGGTGAAATGAAGGGTTCGGCCATCACGGGCCCCGTGGGCAAGGAGTGCGCCGACCTGTGGCCGCGTATCGCCTCGAACGCCGGCTCCATTGTCTAAGCTGAAGGAGATTTCTCTCATCAGAGAACCGACAAATGACAATTGGAAATTGTTGTTGCCATTTGATAATTTTTCGCCTATTTCTTTTTCTTTTTGCTCTTCTTGGCAGCTTTAAGTGCCGCTTCTTCTTCAGCTTTCCGACGTTCCTCTTGCGCTTTGGTTTCGTCGCGGACTTCCTTCTTAAGTTGCTTGAGCAGGGTTGCAGCTTCTTCCAGCAGAGCAGAGGACACTCCTTCCACTGCGTTGCCAGTGTCCACAGCACTAGAGACGAGCTGAGTGCGGTATTCCAGAGCTTGTAGCAACGTATCCAGTGTAGTATTATCATTAAAGACATACCCCCCGCTGCCAGGTGCTGGCTGAGTTGGCAGAGTTCCATTAGGAGGGGCCGGTGGACCCTTAAAGGGCTGTAGACACGCTTCCAGTCGCACTTCAGCGTTCAAACGGTCGCGTAGTGCACCGGCAGCAGTCAGTAGTTTATCGCTGACTCCACGTCTCTGCGCTTCATCAAGACTAGCTTCTAGACGAGCGATACTCTTGCGATAGCGACGTGACCCTCGCTCGATTTTCTCACACATGGCGTGACATCCGAAGAGTGTGCACTCTGCTTCAGCGCTCTGGATAATTTGCAGCGCCACCGACAGCATAAGCGGGTGAACTTGTTCTCGAGTGGCGTGCTGCAAGGCTCGTTTCAGCGGCTCCAGAAGCGACCGGATCCCGATCGGGCGTTCAGCAAGCAGAGCTTTCACTTCTTCTTGCAGCGCGACGTGAGCGACGAGCTGTCGATAGGTTTGTCTCGAAACACGCACCAGTTCGCCATCCGCAGCCTTGAGCTGCGCAGCTTCTAGCGCAGTGTAAAGCGCTTCAGCATCCGTTTGAGTCAGAGTCAGTGCACTCTGGATGATCTCCGTACTTGGCAATAATCGCTTCGTCGTCGCTGTCCTTGCACTCTGCTCAACTTCAAAGCCCGCGCTCAGTTCTCTGGATGGCAGCTCAAAGCCGCTTTCCAAGGTAGTAAGAGCTGAGCTTTCACCGTTTAGTTGCAACCCGGACGATGAAGTTCCCAGCTCGACAATATCTGTTGCTACAGCGTCACCTACACTCGGATTTTGGTCTCCTTCGATGCTTTCTGCACCGCCGTTGATACCTTCAGCTTCTCCGTTTATCACACTCATCGAAGTTGTCGGACGACTAGCAATACTCGGATCCAGTACAGCGAGAGTGCGACGTATGAGTTCGAGTTTGTTATCCAGCACATTGCGTAGATCCTGTTCAGCTTTCCCCATTTCCGTGGCACATTCCTGGCAACAACGCAGACTACGTGCTTGAACGAGCCTCGTTGGCGAGACACCAGCCTCTGTAGTACTCCCATTCACGTCAAGTGTTGAAGGAGGCTGCGTTGGAGTGGAGGTGGTTGATGAGCACGGTTTTGTGTCACAGAAGACGTTGTGGCAATGCTGACACAGACTGGGACGACGGAGACGGCTGAAGGTTTCCTTGCACCATTCGCAGACAGTTTGCGACTGGAATCTAGTCAGCAGGCGACGACATCCGGGCTCTGTAGCCAAGTCCAGTGGACGATTCCCGTACTTGTTGCATGTCTCCACAGCAGCAGATTGGGCAAGTAGCTGCTCTACCACTTCTCGATGACCTCCAGAGCAGGCCAAGTGGAGACATCGATTGCCAGTTGTGTCTGCAGCTTCAGGGTTATAGTCTGCAGCCAGTAGAATTGCCACTGTGTCTGCGTGGCCCTTGTAGCAGGCCCAATGCAACGGGGTGTTGCAGTTTGTCTCCTTCATAGAGCTAGTGTAGCCATTTGACAATTGGTACTTTCGACTTGGTGCTGAGGTCTCGTACATACCATCAGCACCAATGTCCAGCAGGTACAGGAGCACGTCATTGGCGCCGCTGTAAGCTGCAGCAGCCACCGGGGTCCATCCACTTTTTGTGATAAACCCAGCCGGAGCACCAGCACAGACGCGCTGCGTGACTGCACTCAAGTCGCCTTCACGGCAAAGTTCGATGAGTTGCAAGCCAGCGTCAACGTCCTGAGGACTCGCAAGTTGCTGCGTTAAAGGCTCAGGTCGGATGACGACCTTCTCTTGCGCGTCTCCATCGTCTCCTACCTCGTCGTCTTCATTGTCGTTGCGATGTTCAGCATGGCCGTTGCTTGTGTGGTCACCCGTAGCTGGTTCAGCCTTGTCCGAGCTGCTATGAACTTCACTAGGCGTCGATCCGGAGACGTCACCCGACGCTGTCATAATGCCACAACAAGGACACTACACCTAAAAAAATGAGAGTTTAGAGTTTATCGCGTCGCTTTAAGATTTAACGGCAAATCATTTTTGCATATCAAAAATTGCCATGCTTTTGATTGCAACACGCAAAGAGTCAACGTCACTATACCTAAGGAACTTTACGATACTCCCCTACACAAGAAATGGAGATACGAAACATGACCAGCTTTCCTCAACCAGCTTACAATTCCACGTCGAATAACGACGAGAGCACCGATATTTTCTGGGTGTACCCGGAAATTTCATTCTTGACGCCATCAAAACTGCAGTCAAACATTGGCTCTTGCTGGGGTCGGAGCATATTGTCATCAGCCCAGTCAGTCGGTGGCAGATTCGGCGCCACGTACGCTGGCGTGCAGCCTGAAGTTGCATACGTAACGCATGTTCCCCATTCCGTGACCACCGTCGAGCGCTTGTAGACTCGCGCAACTTCACCTAGCGGTGCACTCAGCACCAGACCGGAGGATTCCAGTCCAGCAGTAGCGTCAAGTGCTCCACTCCCGCAGACCTCATGGAGCGAGTCATAGAGCAGCTCATCCAAGCCAAACGGAGGCTGTGCCGGCGACGTGGGGTCTGCTGACATCAGAGTATTATTCGTCGGGCAGAACAACTCATCGTCACTCGATAACCAGTCGCCGATAGTGTCGCTAGCAGGTAAACATGGCGGATAGAAGTTGTCGGTACTATAGTCTCCCATGCCCATGGGGTCCAGTACACTCTCGATCACAGCTTGAGCTCGCAGCACGCCATCTTGATACGACTGCGCGTACGTGTACATGTCGAGATTGTCGACGCTTGACACGGTGTCGGGGGAGAGCGAGCCGATGTCCGTGTCAGGAATGACCAGCGTGTCAAGACAATCCGGAACCGGAGTCAGATAATCAGCAGCTAGAGTCTCTTTAGAGACGACAGGAGATGTGATCACTGCTGCATCTTCAACGGCGCAATCAGGCACAGCGAGTAGTGCAGTGTCTTCCTCCACACAAACAGGAAGATCGGCATTCAGTGGGAAGACGCTGGCAAGTTCCTTCTTAGCAGAGCGAGTTGCCTTCGTCTTGCACGATTTCTTCTTCTTGTTGCGTTTCCCCGTCCCACGACCTTCTCGAACACGATTCGCCAGCGCTTTCAGTGACGAGTGCCAGTGGTTTTTCACCGCATTGTCCGTTCTACCAGGAAGCTGGGCGGTGATCTTGGCCCAGCAGTTGCCGAACTGAGCCTGCATGTTCATAATGACAGTGTTCTCCTCGTCCGTCCACGGTGTTTTCTTGATAGAAGGATTCAACTGATTGTGCCACCTATCGCAGCCAAGACAAACACACACACGTTCATGACCCTTGCAAGACACCATAACTGGCTACTAAAACTCACCGTTCGCGGCATTGCTTGCCATTTCTTCCTTTCAAGTACGAAGCGATCACGGCCCATTTGCTGGCTCCGTACTCCTTCACCAGCTGGAACATCTGTGCGTCTTCTTCTTGACTCCATGGACGCTTCACCACGCAGTCCAGACCTTGCAGCTTATTCCACCGCTTGAGACATTCTTCAGGAGAGCGAGCCGCGAGACGCTCTGCAATGGCCTTCCACTTTTTGCCTCCAAACGTGCAGACGCCATCTCGAAGCAAGGAATCCTAACGAGTATCAAGCTCTGAGACTGACGTTTCTTCTGTTGAGTGAGCAAATCGACCAATTCCTTACTTCTTCAGAGGTCCATTTCAGTCCGTCACCTCGGATGGCTGTTGCTTTCGCCCTGCACAAGGAGCTGTCAGTTTTGACTAAAGCCTTTCAGCTCTTTTTTGAAGACATCACTCACTTTCTGGAGCTTTTCTTGCGCTGGTACGGGGAGCAGCGCAGTTCCATCATTACGTCTGCCAGTTAGGTTTCAGTTCTTCAGCGCAAATTGACTTGTGGAGTTCGAGTAAAGCCCAGAAGATGGCAGCTCATGGCAAGTGGCGAATCTGGGACTTGCACTCGGTAAACTAGAAACACCTCCACCGGCATCACACTATGGCCTGTTGCACCTTTTCGATACCGCCAACGAAATCTGAGAAAGGGCTCGCAGTCGTCTCATCAGCGCCAGCATTTGCCAGCCGCTGTTTCTGTTTCAAACACGACGTGGGTCAAACGAGCAAATATATTTCGACGCCAATTCTTACGATGACGCCAGACGCTGTGAAAGGAAATGACAAGCTCGAATGGTTATCAAATTACACCGCTTCTCTAAAAAAACCTAGTACCGAATAGAGAGGCCCGTTAAAAGGGGGTGTCCGGTGACGATGAGCTCATCTTGGGAGTGGCAAGTGAGGAAGCGAGCTGTCACCTGTAAGCATTAAATACCCCACACTTTGTCAGCAAAAAAAGCACTCTAGCCTACACGCACACATGTTACGAACCTGAGTGCAGCCCCAAAGCACCAAAGAACGGAGATTCTCCGTGCCGTCAGCCAAGATTCCCAGAGCGTCCTCGGCGATTTGCCGACAGAACGAAATGTCGAGCGTCGTCAAACTCGCAGCGCAGTGCTCGAGCAGCGCCGTCATCGCTACGTCCGTAGCTTGCTGTTGTCAATATCAAACATGAAACACAATCATCCACTCTGTTAAAGTTGCATATAAAGCCTTACCGAGACGCTGGACATCTCGAATGTTTCAAGGAACGACTTGGCTCCAAAGGCGATATGTTGGACTGCAGCGTCAGTCAACTCGAAGCAACAACGTATGGACACACGACGCAGAGCGTGGCCATGTTGACGAACAGGCTCAAAGCACTCGTCAGTGATGAGGTGCAAGTCCGATACATCCAGAACCTTTAAGCCGCGACAAGCCTCCAAAACTCCCTTTACGGCAACATTTGTCAGTTGCGAGCATCGTGCCACTGAGATTTCTTCCAGATTCGGTAAACTTTGCGCCAACGAGACGATGACCTCGTCGGTGAGCTTCTCCATCTGATTTAGTTGCAATTTGCGCAGATTTTTCATGGATTTCAGCGCCTCCAAGCAGGAATCTCCGATCTGCGGACACTCGGACAGCGTTAACGAATGCAAATTCTGCAGCTCACAAAAGTAATCGACCGATTTCTTGGTGATCCGCTGGTTGCACGAGATCTCGAACGCGTCCAAGGACGGCGCACAACGTCGCACTAGAGCTTCACACCCCGCGTCCGAGAGACGATAACAGCCTTGCACCTGCAGCTGCTCCACGGCTTTCAACGAGTCTCCCAGCTCGTCGATCACACTGTCCGAGACGCAGCGGCCACATAGTCCGAGTCTTAAGACCGAAAGCGCAGCGCAATCTTTTAGTGCACGGATCAACGTGTCTTCGTCGATATTCGAGCAGTCGGGAATGTCAATCTCCGTGACTCCAGGGAAGATAAAGAGCGGAAGAACCTCTGGTTTAAGGCGTCTGAGCTTCACGACAGCTCTGGCCACTTGGTGCCGCGCAGTGGCGTCGATGTATTCGAGTGTTGGCAGTTGCTCGACGTGTTCCGCCAGACTTTGGAGCGCCAAATCCCGTAGCCTTAGTACCACGTTGTCAGCTCGTAATACAGAAGTGCGGGCGGCGTGTTTGGGTGTCCATTTGACCTTAAGAACTTCCTCCACTGGCTGACGCCGCTTACGCGCGTCCTGCGCGGCCGAACGGTTATCTCTGAGCTCCCGCATGGTTGCATAGTAGCCTGGCCAGGACTCTGTCTCCTCGGCGGGCGCAGAGGCACGTTCTCCCGTAGCAAAGTAGAGCGCGCGCTCTCTGGTGACGGCAGCACGTCCGCGGCCCCGTGGAGCGTCAGCAGGCGCTGCGGGCGCCGGTTCTACGGCGTTTACATCGCTCTCTTCATGCGGAGGAGACGCAGGGGCTGGAGGAGCGGGTGGAGGGGAAGCGGCGCGGCGACGACGAGAAGCGGCGCCGTTGGAGCGCGGAGACGCGGCGTCGGAGCGAGACTTGCGCTTCATTCGGCGGAAACAAGAGTGAAGATCACTTTAGCCAAAAGAGTTGAAGTGCACCTTTCCCGCCACACAAACGACACTCGAACAAACTGGCGGCAATTCCAACATGGATACACTCTCACTGCAATGAATACAGTGGTGAGGCCCTCACCGCGAGGGACGAGGTCGGCGCTGATCTTCTTCGCTGCTGGTTGCGTAGGCATCTGATAGTGAACACTGATGAACACCGAGTTGGGGCTGAGGAATTGTCAACCGACTGCTACAGTACATGTAGGCACGCAGCACACTTGCGATGACGAAAAAAAACAAGCTCGTAGTAGAACATTTCATTGCCCTGTAAGTTAACCTAACTTGGTTTCTGTCAAGATCTGAAGTATTGCACGGCTGCGCATTTTATCGCTCGGGTTGCCTCTGACCACTGTGCGACGCGTGCAATTATGGAAACGCCTAAGCAAAATTAGCCATGGGAAACCACGAAATCTACAGAAAATAATTCGCATCTCGGTAAGATATTTTTATTGTTCAGTCTGCAGCTAGAGGTAGACAACTATTCTTCCGTGAACATATTCATAAACCCGCTTGCTACGACGCAAGCTCACGAATCACTCAAGCAACACTTAACATTGCATGAGCACAGTCATCAAGGACCCACGACTTACTTGTCGACGGTGGCCATGTGCAGCACAAGGTCAACCAGACGGTTCGAGTAGCCCCACTCATTGTCGTACCACGACACAAGCTTCACGAAGTGGTCGTTCAGGGCGATGCAAGCATCAGCGTCGAAAATGCTGGAGCGCTTGTCGTGCAGGAAGTCGTTCGACACCACCTGGTCCTCCGTGTAGCCGAGGATGCCGGCCAGCTCGCCTTCCGAAGCGGCCTTCACAGCGGCCTTGATCGCGTCCATCGACGCAGCCTTCTCCAGACGGCACGTCAGGTCCACCACAGACACATCCGGCGTAGGCACACGGAACGCCATGCCCGTCAGCTTACCGTTCAGCACAGGCAACACCTTACCCACGGCCTTGGCGGCACCCGTCGACGATGGGATGATGTTCTGGCCGCAGCCACGGCCACCACGCCAGTCCTTGCCGCCCTTAGCAGGGCCGTCCACAGGCAGCTGCGTCGCCGTCGTCGCGTGCACCGTCGTCATCAGACCCTCCACGATGCCGAAATTGTCGTTGATCACCTTGGCCAGCGGCGCAAGGCAGTTCGTCGTGCACGAAGCGTTCGACACCACCGGGGCCGAGCCGTCGTACTCCTTGTGGTTCACACCCATCACGTACATGGGCGTCGAATCCTTAGGCGGGGCCGAGATCACCACCTTCTTGCAGCCACCCTCGATGTGGGACTGGGCCTTCTCAGTCGTCGTGAACACACCAGTCGACTCGCACACGTACGTGGCACCGGCCTTTCCCCACGGGATCTCCGCCGGGTTGCGCGCAGCGAACACGTGGATCACCTCGCCGTTCACAACCAGGTTGCCGTCCTTGGTCGCCACGGAGCCGTCGAACTTGCCGTGGGTCGAGTCGTACTTGAAGAGGTACGCTATGTAGTCTAAGGGTCGTTGATGGCCACGACCTTGGTCTTGGGGTTTTCAATGGCGGCGCGGGCCACGAGACGGCCGATGCGGCCAAAGCCGTTGATGCCGATCTTGACCTCTGACATGATGAGAGAGAGTGTTGGTCTTGAGGGATACTGCGCTCGAAAGCCGCCGGATTAGATTGTGAGACTCGAGGGGATCTTTTTCTTTTGAATGACGTTGAAGCTAGCACCCTGATAAAACCTCGATGACGTAAAAACCTTGTGGAGCAAAAACACGCGGTCTGTTTCACTGGGGGCAATGGCTATGTTATATTGACTTTTCGATGAGCGGGCATTAACTACAAAACGAACTTGCGAGGTAATTAGGATAAATAACGTTACGCCGAAGCGGAAGAATCCACAGAGGCCTGAAGTAGGCCATTTTGATCCAGGACGGGCCTGGACCCGCGACGATTGAAAAGCCGAGGGTTAGGCACAATATCCGTCCCAAGCGTGAGCGTTGGGGAAATTGTTGGAGGCATTCATTCAGCCGTGAACGTCCTGTAGGCCCGGAGTCTCGGTGCAGTGCCCGAAAATGTGCACTAAAAATGGAGTAAACTCGATACACCGCCGTTGTCGCTTGCAGCGGAGGTGCGGCTTCGAAAATATGTTTGTTCCGAGTCGTCCAAATTGCATGCAGTGTGATGCTACGCATTAGCGTCCACAACGCGGTAAACTCTTGTGCCTTGTTCCGTCCACGAGTCGTCCACTCTGATGTCTCACGAAATGTGGACAATGAACCTGTTTCAATCCGCACGAATGAGATGCCAAAGAGCTGCAACCCGGCGGCAGTCAAAGAACAAGTGACGTTCGGTTTCAATGGAAGAGCACGTCGGATATGCGCAACATAGTGCCTCATTCACTTCGTAAAAGAGTTGACTTTGCTCGACAGCAGTCTTGTTCCTCAGGAACTTCATTAGCTACAACTTGCGTGCAAGTACGAAGCAGTATACATGTGCTATTACCTGCTACCCAACGATCCGCTTCATAAACTCAATCTGCAAAGGCATCATTCAATACATGCAACAGCTTCAAAAACTTAGGATTCATTGACCAAAATATAAATCAACAAATCAACCAACGTCTGCCGCAAACATCTACGCTACGCTTAAATGTCGACCGTGGCCATGTGCAGCACAAGGTCAACCAGACGGTTCGAGTAGCCCCACTCATTGTCGTACCAAGCCACAAGCTTCACGAAGTGGTCGTTCAGGGCAATGCAGGCATCAGCGTCGAACGTGCTCGAGTGCTTGTCGTGCAGGAAGTCGTTCGACACCACCTGGTCCTCCGTGTAGCCGAGGATGCCGGCCAGCTCGCCTTCCGAAGCGGCCTTCACAGCGGCCTTGATCGCGTCCATCGACGCAGCCTTCTCCAGACGGCACGTCAGGTCCACCACAGACACATCCGGCGTAGGCACACGGAACGCCATGCCCGTCAGCTTGCCGTTCAGCACAGGCAACACCTTACCCACGGCCTTGGCGGCACCCGTCGACGACGGGATGATGTTCTGGCCGCAGCCACGGCCACCACGCCAGTCCTTGCCGCCCTTAGCAGGGCCGTCCACAGGCAGCTGCGTCGCCGTCGTCGCGTGCACCGTCGTCATCAGACCCTCCACGATGCCGAAATTGTCGTTGATCACCTTGGCCAGAGGCGCAAGGCAGTTCGTCGTGCACGAAGCGTTCGACACCACCGGGGCCGAGCCGTCGTACTCCTTGTGGTTCACACCCATCACGTACATGGGCGTCGAATCCTTAGGCGGGGCCGAGATCACCACCTTCTTGCAGCCACCCTCGATGTGGGACTGGGCCTTCTCAGTCGTCGTGAACACACCAGTCGACTCGCACACGTACGTGGCACCGGCCTTTCCCCACGGGATCTCCGCCGGGTTGCGCGCAGCGAACACGTGGATCACCTCGCCGTTCACAACCAGGTTGCCGTCCTTGGTCTCCACGGAGCCGTCGAACTTGCCGTGGGTCGAGTCGTACTTGAAGAGGTACGCCATGTACTCCAGGTCCATGAACGGGTCGTTGATGGCCACGACCTTGGTCTTGGGGTTTTCAATGGCAGCGCGGGCAACGAGACGGCCGATGCGGCCAAAGCCGTTGATGCCGATCTTGACCTCTGACATGATGAGAGAGAGTGTTGGTCTTGAGGGATACTGCGCTCGAAAGCCGCCGGATTAGATTGTGAGACTCGAGGGGATCTTTTTCTTTTGAATGACGTTGAAGCTAGCACCCTGATAAAACCTCGATGACGTAAAAACCTTGTGGAGCAAAAACACGCGGTCTGTTTCACTTCGTAAAAAGTAGAGGGGGGGGGCAATGGCTATGTTATATTGACTTTTCGATGAGCGGGCATTAACTACAAAACGAACTTGCGAGGTAATTAGGATAAATAACGTTACGCCGAAGCGGAAGAATCCACAGAGGCCTGAAGTAGGCCATTTTGATCCAGGACGGGCCTGGACCCGCGACGATTGAAAAGCCGAGGGTTAGGCACAATATCCGTCCCAAGCGTGAGCGTTGGGGAAATTGTTGGAGGCATTCATTCAGCCGTGAACGTCCTGTAGGCCCGGAGTCTCGGTGCAGTGCCCGAAAATGTGCACTAAAAATGGAGTAAACTCGATACACCGCCGTTGTCGCTTGCAGCGGAGGTGCGGCTTCGAAAATATGTTTGTTCCGAGTCGTCCAAATTGCATGCAGTGTGATGCTACGCATTAGCGTCCACAACGCGGTAAACTCTTGTGCCTTGTTCCGTCCACGAGTCGTCCACTCTGATGTCTCACGAAATGTGGACAATGAACCTGTTTCAATCCGCACGAATGAGATGCCAAAGAGCTGCAACCCGGCGGCAGTCAAAGAACAAGTGACGTTCGGTTTCAATGGAAGAGCACGTCGGATATGCGCAACATAGTGCCTCATTCACTTCGTAAAAAGTAGAGTTGACTTTGCTCGACAGCAGTCTTGTTCCTCAGGAACTTCATTAGCTACAACTTGCGTGCAAGTACGAAGCAGTATACATGTGCTATTACCTGCTACCCAACCCGCTTCATAAACTCAATCTGCAAAGGCATCATTCAATACATGCAACAGCTTCAAAAACTTAGGATTCATTGACCAAAATATAAATCAACAAATCAACCAACGTCTGCCGCAAACATCTACGCTACGCTTAAATGTCGACCGTGGCCATGTGCAGCACAAGGTCAACCAGACGGTTCGAGTAGCCCCACTCATTGTCGTACCAAGCCACAAGCTTCACGAAGTGGTCGTTCAGGGCAATGCAGGCATCAGCGTCGAACGTGCTCGAGTGCTTGTCGTGCAGGAAGTCGTTCGACACCACCTGGTCCTCCGTGTAGCCGAGGATGCCGGCCAGCTCGCCTTCCGAAGCGGCCTTCACAGCGGCCTTGATCGCGTCCATCGACG